CTCTTTGAATACATTGATATCCGTTCGCAAACTATTGGCGTTTTGTATTAAAGTATTCGCTTTTGAATCGCTGGCAAAAGACTCGACCATTTGATTAGAAACGGTCAGCATTTGATCCACTGATTGTCGAATGTCTTCTAAATCTAAGGAACGCACAGTTTTGGACATCCATTCACTCTCGCGCCGACGGAACAGATTCGCTGTCTTCCACAGTGTATCCAATTGTGATCGACTCTGAATTAGTTGATCCAAAAGTGATGTCTGAAATACAGTATCATATTTAAGCAGTTTTTGTTCTTTAATAATACTCATCGACTCTTCTGTGCACTCATTTAATTGTATTTCTAAATCATTAAGTGTTTGACAATTGTCTGCAATGCTTTCAAAGGGAGACCAAAGGGTTTTCTTTTGAAAACTATTTAATATATTTTCCAAATCATGTAATCGTCTTTCAAATGCCGACTTTCTTTGCCTTAATTTTGATTCAATCTCTGATTTATTACTATTAAAGTGCTTCTCGTATCGGGAGAAACACATTTGCATCCTTTTGGGCCAATTGTAGAGCCGATGCAATACATCAATGTCTGTCTCATTGATGAGCGCCGATCCCTCCTCTGCTACAAAACTCCAGTTTTCTTCAATATATTTCACATCAAAGAGCATTAAATTGACTTTTGATTTGTATTCAATGCATTGATTGGTCTGCCGAACAAAATCAGTGGTTGAGATGTGATCTTTGTTTATATCGTTATGTATTTTTGAGAAATCATTGCATATATATTGAGCCAAAGACATGATTTCACAAAATTTATTTTCTATTAAAGTATCAATTCTTTGTTCAATACGTTTCCGGACGTAAAGTTTAAGTTCGCGGCAATCGATCTGAAATATACCGAAACTCTTTACGTTTGACCGAAAGGTTAAACTTTTGACATTATTTTTTAAATCTGTAATTAGTTTTGCTAATTGTTGGCGATTATAACAATCGGTGTTTAGAGTGGTGTCACTGAATGCCATTGTTTTAACGCTAAACTCCTGTTCGTATCGATTAATAATAGCGTTGCAATCATTTTGTCGATAAATTTCTGAAACCCTTTCCATATAATATTGGACTTCAAAGTCATTTTTATAGACATTAAGTAAATATTGTTGCGAAATGTGTTTATTTCTATTGACTATTAGCTGACTCTCGATTCTCTCTATATTTTTAGTGAATTCCAGTAATTTCACGATAGGATAGACAAGAATAGTCTCCCATTCGTAACAATTGGGTACTAGATATGAAGCGCCGGATGTTTTGCACTGGATTTTAGCATTAAATATTGGCAAACATTTAACGCAATGAGTTTCCAAAATAGTCACCCATTTCTCTATATTATTGATAATCAATTGGCGTAATAGTCGTGACATAAATGATGAAATTGTGTTAAATATAATCGCATTACCCATAGTATTGATGTCNTAAATATTGGCAAACATTTAACGCAATGAGTTTCCAAAATAGTCACCCATTTCTCTATATTATTGATAATCAATTGGCGTAATAGTCGTGACATAAATGATGAAATTGTGTTAAATATAATCGCATTACCCATAGTATTGATGTCAAGCAAATACGAGTACTTGTCTAATATAACGTGAATGCAATCAGAAATCCAATCATACTTTAAGGTATATCTCATTTGTTGGCATTTGTCTACAATTGAAGATTTAAATTCATTAGCATTTAATGGTTTTGAAACATCAATTGATAAGCAATTGATGTGTCGATACTTTGTGTCCCAAACTTTCAATATGTCTGTAACGAGTGGATGACAAATATCCCTTTCATTAATCAAAGCCTTCATTTCTTTAAATGAATGGTTTAATACAATCTTCTGTTCATTCATGACATCATTGAGATGTGCTTTGAATGTGAATTCATTATCATATTTAAGCGTATAATCTATTATTGAATGTTTTGATGCAATCGTATAATCGTATCGATAGTCACTTAATATATGTTTAATAATATGATCGCTTCCATCACTTTCCAGATGTTGTTTGCAAATCACTTTAGATAAGAGACCACTGATTGCCAATTTGGTTGAATACATAGGAATCTGTTTGTCATCAATACTGGCAATCATGTCATTATATTTATTGAGTTCTTTCATATTGATTTCATTGTCGCAATTAGGTATCAAACGCTTAGCCGTCAATACTTTCTCCTTATTATTTGCACTATTATTTCGGTCACAGAAAACACAATCATTTGAATTGCAATCATATTTCACTGGATAATATTGATTTCATTGTCGCAATTAGGTATCAAACGCTTAGCCGTCAATACTTTCTCCTTATTATTTGCACTATTATTTCGGTCACAGAAAACACAATCATTTGAATTGCAATCATATTTCACTGGATGTGAATTATTAATGACTTTTGATATGTCAATCAATGCATTCATTTGTCTATAGGTTTTTGGGGCAAAATAATTGCCAATCGTATGAACGGATAGACCGACGGACACGTCGTTAACGGGGATGAGTCGCGTCCCTGTCTTACGACTGTCTCTATAATTAAGCACTAATTTTCTTGAATACATATTTTTCAAACAAAATTAATTAATCCTAAAAACAATGTTATGAATATTAAATATATTAAACTGAATGTATATTACGATATGTGGTTAATGAGAGCACAGTTTTCCGCGTATTTTCTATTACATATTGAATAATGTATTTTTGAATAGTTTTGTTCAATCATTAAAATCTAGTGTTTAATTGTTGTAAGAGTTGCTAAGGAGTGGTACTTTGTTTTATGTTAGAGCAAAATATGTACAGAATATCCATACAATGTATGAGATCTTTATTTATTTTTACTAAAAAGTATTTATTTTTATTTAAAAAATACATTGTTTTTATTTTAAATATATTTTGAGAAATATTTTTGAATAAATTTTACATTTATCAAAATCTAGATTAGTTATATTTATATTATAATCAAAACTAAACTATTTAAATAAAATAATGATTTAAAAGTAATCGTTATGGGTTTAAAGTTTTAAAATTATTTATTAAAATATTCTAAATTAGAAACAAGTTTTATTAAATAAATATTTTAATATTAATTTGAATATAAATATTTAATAGATATTCAATAAAAATTTAAAAGTAAAAATGAATTAAATCTAATTCAAATTATACTCATTTTGAAAACACATCTAATTAAACAGACAAATGCTTTTAACCAAAAACTCATTGCAATATTCAGTGCTTACTTTGATAATATTTTATATGTTTTATTTTTGTGTCAAAAGTTTTTTGTGTTAATTCCTGGTATAAGAGAGATAGAGGTATAAAGTACTCTCTGTATGCATACCTTATCACACGATTCGCACAAATATTGTATAATTAATATTATATTCAAATCAATATATTTAACGATTTAATAAATTAAATTTAATGTTATTTATTAACATTTACTTAAATAAATAAATGTAAACTTTTAAAACGTTTTGATCATATCTTCAATGAAAATCTCAAACATTGATAAGAGTTGAGAGCATTTCTACTGCAAAATCACACCTGATTTGTAAGAGAGTGTCCTTTAAGGCGAAGGTTTTGGCAAAACTTATGTGTTTATTGAAATTCATATTGTATTGACATAATTGTTATAAACTAACTATAAATTAATAGTCTTTATTACTTTTATTAATTTATTAATATTTTGACAACAGTTTAACAAAATTTAATATTAAAACCAAGTTTTATAAAAATAATAAAATAAAAGTTTTTGCATAATTTTAGTGACTTTTTTTCTATTTTTATAGTTTTAATGTTTGGTTCAACAAAATATTAATTGTTTAATTCATACATTTCATTAATGCATATCATTTTCTGGATATAATTATAATAAAAATATTTAAAAAAATTAACGTTTGATGAAAAGAATATTACAAAGTATTAAATCTATCAAAACTCCTCTCTCCCCTCTCTCTCTCTCAATAGTATTATCCGTTTGTCTTTCGCGAAGGCGTCAAACACAGGGAAACACTGGACTTTTGGGGCATTTCATCACCAAAACACTATCACTAGTGGACTATTATGTCAAATGATATACAAATATGATATATCATACGAGTGGTGGTAATTGAGTGCAGAGTTCTCTCTCTCTCTCTCTTCATTCACTCACACTTTGGTATCTGTTTCCCTAATTTTCAGGTCAATGTAATTATGAAATGTATATAAAGTTTTGAATCAAATGGCAGTAATATATGTAATAATGTGCGCAATAATCAGACCATAGGTTTGTTGTTGGTTACGGACAGTCGACAGCACATGAAAAAGAGGGTAAAGTGTCTGACAATGTGAGGCATCAAAGGCTCCGTTTGTAAGCGCACATACACTTTGAGCCACACGTACTAAAACACGTGTTCATTAGTGCGGAACACAATTTATAGCGTTTAATGATAAAAATGCATTGATTGTCATATTCTGTGTGACCCCACCCAACAGTGTTGTCCTTACGGCACACTTCAGCCATACAGACATACAGACCACACATAGCAATAAAAAAGGACAACAAAAACACATACAATATTTGACCACACATTCCATATGATATTACATAACAAATAAGATTTTAATGTTCGCTAAAAGGCGTATAATGTCCTCAATTTAACCTCATTTTCACTTACCGTTCAAACACTCCAACCATTTGAGAGGCGCCCGCAATATATAGTCTGGAAATTGTTTTATTTTTCGGGTTAAACGCCCGGACTATTGCTGTGAGAGAGAAAGAACTCTGCACTCAATTACCACCACTCGTATGATATATCATATTTGTATATCATTTGACATAATAGTCCACTAGTGATAGTGTTTTGGTGATGAAATGCCCCAAAAGTCCAGTGTTTCCCTGTGTTTGTTAAATAAACTTATGCGGCGATCCTTTTGTCGCTCAGAGTAAAGCTTTCAGTCATTAATCTATCAAAAGAGTTAAGCAAATAATCAGTTTTAGTATTTATTTTTGTCAATATTTGTCATCAATAAGTTTTGAATTGACAAAAACGTGTTGTGCTTTTGTATTTCAATTGAATGCAAAGAAAAAGTGATTCAATACACAAGATGTCAACGCAAACGACAGGCCAGACCGCGGCTCAGGGCGCGAGTCAGCACACTATCATCAAATCGGAAATTGATTTTCAAAGATTGGTAAGCGTTTTAACGATCAAAAACCAAACAAATTATACATTATAGATATCTGTCATTAAATTGAAGTTTATTTTTTGTTCATTTTTCCAATAATTTGAATGTCTTTTCGAGAGAGAATTAATTGATTTATATTTTCAATTAATTAAATTATATTAATCTAATTCATGCTTTTTATAATTATTTTGAAGTTTTGTAAACAATTTGATTGTTTTAATAAATATATTTCATATTCTTTATTTAATTATTGATTTAATATAACAATTTTTCATCTTTAATTAATTGCAAACTTTGTAAATATAAATATTTTTTAAAAGTTTTATTTAGTTTTAATAATAAAATTTCATCTTTAATATGCAATGTTTATAATGTATTCAAATGAATACATAATCTATTATTTATAACTAAAAACATTATTAATATTTGATAACTAATGCATAAATAAACAGTATTTACATACGTTATATAATTTGTATACAGTAATAAAATTATGTTACATGTTAGTAATATATTGTCATATTACAGTAGTTTCTGTACGACTTACCTAATTGAATAAATAACCTTGGTCAACTTTTGTCTTTATAAGAATTTCTATAAATTAAATTTTTAAATATAAAAAACTAATAATGGTTTAACTCAATGCCTCAGATATATTGATAATTCTGATTTTTTATTAAAATTTTTAAATTGTTTTAATAACAGGAAAGAAATGCCACACATGAGAGTCAAAACAATCATAGGTTTACATTACAACTATAACTGAAGTTCCCGATCTTAAAACTTACTCTACTGTACACTATGAACACTATGAACAACATGAAAGTTAGTTTGAGTCTATGTAGTATGACATATAAGACATTTTATTGAATAATGAAATTAAGTTTATTTTAAACCTGGTAATGATGGTTTAGTGGTTCGTTTGTAGCCGCACAAAAAACCTAGGTTCATATTATAGCTCAGTGCCCATGAGTTTAAACTATACTGGAATCGACAAAAAAGCCACAATTTGACCATTTTTATAGTAACTTTGTTTTTACATGATCTTAAATGGTATCTTATATTGAAACCGCCATTCATTTATAATTTTGTGTAAATATTGTGTAAACCTTTCCTTGCGATGTTACTATACACTACTGTACTTTATTACTTCATGGCATTAGTGTTGATATATAAATATTAAATTGAAACTTCAAACTGAGACTTGATAAATTAAAACAACTTAAAACTCTTGGTGATAGTTTTTATCTGTTATCTGAACCTATATTTTAAAGTCACATTGTAGTACCATGAAGATAAATTTAAAAACTACACAAATTCAAATCTAGTACTGACAAGCAATAATTACAACTAGCTATTTAGCAAATACCCTTTACATAAAATTTATAACTATTTTACATTTATATCAATTATTGTAATGATTATAATTTACTAACAAAGGGTGCAAAATAACTAATAAATAGATAAATATTGAATTTATTAATTGCAAAAATATTATCGCCAAAAATAATGAGACGCTTGAAGGTCTATATTTACGGACATTAAGCTGTGAATACAATTGAGGCGATTGTCATATGAAAGCTGGTATAGAGTTAGTGTATAACTAGAGTAGACCAGCGTTTGGATGAAATATAGGCTAAATGATGGGACGGGTAAGCGATGCGTGTCGTTGTTATTCGTTATTTAATGGCATTAAAATTCGTCATATGTTTTATCAGATTTAATTGCAGTCATATTTTGTATGAATTGTAAAGCGAATAATCGATACCATAAAGGATTGAATCGCAAAAACTACTGCTCACACCATTTGGGAGACAACACCACACATACCATACCATACATAGTGTATGGGAACGGATACTGAAAAAAGCACTAAAACTTGTGCTTCATTTTGATTGTTATTCTGGTGACAGAATCGCCAGAATTTTTCATTGAAAAATTGCAAATTTATGTTCAAATTCTGTAAATAATAGATAACATACGGAAAGTGCTTTTGTTGTCGGATTTATATATTTATTTCATGTATTGTTTTTGTGTATCGATTTCGTGCCACAGATAACACATTCACACAAAACATTTTTGAGTATAAAATTTTTTGCGCTTTACTTTTGTATGTTTTGATTAATACTAATAGATTAACGGAGAATGTGATCGTTTAGTGTCTCGGGCCTCAAACCTCCTGCAAAACAAGTCGTTCACTGACGTGACATTCATTGTCGGTCCGCCACAACACTCCAAGAAGTATGTCGGCCATCGGGTCCTGTTGGCCATGACATCTCCAGGTGTGCCATACATTACTTTACAAATCTTTTTATCGTGTTTTGTATTATCGATGAAAATAATTACTTTTATCCTCTGCAGTGTTTGAGGCCATGTTTTACGGAGATATGGCTGATAAGAGTAAAGTGATTCGCATACCAGACATCGCGCCCATTGGCTTTGAGAATCTGCTCCGATATGCCTATACGGGTCTGTTATCTCTTCATTCGTGGTCTCTATTTCTTGTAAAACTTTTATTTAATTATATTTTTATTCATTGATTGTCTTCAGACTCTTTGAACTTAAATTCAGTGGAGGACGCGATGCTAACGGCATACGCGGCCAAGAAATACCTTTTGCCCCATTTGTTACGGTAATTATATTAATATCCTATAATTCATATCAAACCATTGAAATATAGCCCCTAAAATATCGCCAAATGCCATTCATGTGATTAAACAAATAACAACACATAGAAAAAAGCAAAATATTTATTATTTATGGATTAGAAAGCGATAAAAAGTGTCATAAAAATAATATATCCATAAAGAGTGGGAAGAAAATTGAGAATAATTTTGGATTCTGTATAATATTTTGATATGTTTTGATACGTATAGAGAAATACGGCATTCATTTGTGTGTTAATTAGACTGAGTGTTGATTTATATGCAGGGAATGTCTGACCTATATTGAGAAGAATATCACTCCTTCGAGTGCATGTGCTGTCTATGAGTTCGCTTCTGCTCTCAATTCACAACAACTCGTCTATCAATCGATGAACACAATCGACAGACAAACATATCATGTAATTACTCACAAATCCTTCAAGTGAGACATTTTTTGCTGTCATTTTATGTTAATTATCCGATCATTCAATCACTTGATAATACCAAACGATGACCTAATCTCATAAATCTCTTGTATATTCCCGAATGCCATTCAAATCTCATGCACTGATAGTAACATTCAATTATCAACACTGGAATTCATTGTCGGTCGCCGTTATCTTAACCTATACTCCGAGTTCTCGTTATTTAATTCTGTGGTTCAGTGGACACAAAATGAATGCAAACGAAGGGCTGCCAACTCTAACGACTGGTCGGTTATTAGGACTCTTCTCGACGATAGGTATAGACACTGAACACAATATAAAACAATGAAAGGAAACACTAATCATATAATGCATACCATGTGTTCGCCAGTACTGTAATGAAGAACATACGGTTCCTAACGATGTCGGCCGAAGAGTTCGCGCGAGTCGTGTCTCAGACCACACAGAATACGGTTCCCAAAGAGAATAGCGACGAACAGCAGCCCTCGTATTTGCCGGCGGAGAACGCCTTCATGTCAAAGGGCGAGCAAATCGCGATCTTCATGAATCTGGCCATTCCTGGATTAGTTCCCATCGCCAAAGGACTCAGTCAAGAGACCACTCCTCGATGCGCACCCCGTATGATATATACCACACATTATTAATAGCCAAATAAATTGACCACTGATTGTGTATTTGAATTGAATGCGTGAATAGCGGAGTATTTCACAGTAAGACGGTATAAGCCGGTCACTTACGCCACGACCACTACATTAGCGCACGCCTCTCAGGGCGCCGGCGGAGGCAATAAACCCATTAAAACGGTTTGCACTAAATTTCAAGTCATGAATTCAGATCTATTCATTGTCGGCGCTTCCATTCCTATCCGATTGGATCCCGGGTTCGTCTCTTTTCGGCCATATTCAAAAATCTTGTGTCACAACTAATATTAAAATATTTGATTTCATGTAAATTTAGTTATTATTCGGTTCGCACTCCAAAACTCGACTGTCAGTTGAAGTTTACATCAAAAATGGGTGTTTCTAGCGATGGGCCGATGGGTCAGAGAGAACAGGACGACGCCATACTCTTGGTATTAATATTTGGTTTTCATATTTTAGGAATTGTAGCGATAATTATGACAATTTGTAGGATACTGTGGACGACTCAATAACTTTGGTCATATCAAAGGACAAGGACTGTCACGTCAAACTCAAGAGACCCTTATGCGTAAAGAAGGGTAATTTCAATGAACTGCTTCTCACGTTTCAATCGCCAACACTTAATGACGATATCGTTGTTATCAAAGGTATTACTCAAACTAATAACTGTTACTAAAATTAAATCTCTCTCTCTCTCTCTCTCACTCACTCACTCACTCACTCACTCACTCACTCACTCATACACTTGCAGGACATCGAAATAAGTCGACTCAGACCGAGATAGTGGACGGGGAGGCCATAAGTTGGGTGTTCTTCAAGTCAAGTGGACTCGAATTCAATGAATTGTATTAGATAACTCTCGACTTAAACCCTTGTTTAAAAACAAAAACCAAACAAAAACCTTTATAAATAGTTATGTTCATTACTGACGGACATCAATTTCCACACAACTCTCCATTACTGTCTTTTACATTCGTAAGGCTCAAGACATATACACAATGAGTGACTGTTTGGGATTGTTTTAGTCAAACTATTTCATGAATTATATAAACTGATGGCTGAATACCTATCGCTTGTTTATTACCAAATAATTAAATACAACAATTAATTTTCTCTCCCATTAAAAGCACTTTTATCTTAATTTATGACTTAATCACATAATAATTGAATGAATGCTAAGCAAAATTGTAAACTTTAAAACGTTCATCGATTTATTATTACTAACTTTAAACTTAATGTTATATTTCGAAAACTCTATGAAAATTAAATTCTGTTATAAAATTGCCTAAAAATTATTGTTTTATTTATTTTATAAATAAATACAGTGTTTCTGTCGATATGTATGTAATATTAACTCTTTTTACTATGTCTTCAAACATTATTTACATTAATATTAAGAAAATAATAATAAATAAAAGTAAATATCACTTTAAAACAATAGGGAAGGAGAATATAGACGGTTAACCTCATAATAAGGTTATGGACCACGACTTAACTTATGGCCCATTTATATATTGATTGACAACTGATTAGTCGAGGGGTTAAGGAATGATACGAGAGGTTGAGGACCATAACTGAGGGTAAGGGACGACAGTTTGAGGTAAGAAACGATAAGATAGAGGCGAAGGAACGATAGGAGGGGTGAGAGACCGATAAGTGATAGAGCATTGATGGGTGAAGGACTCGATGATGAGGGTAACAAACGGTTAGCTGAGGGTAAAGACACTTCACTTGTATGGTATGGTATAGTGTGTCAAAGTAAACGTTGAGAGCATTTACATCAATGGCTATTCTTAACGATAATTTGTGATAAAGAAGTGCTTTGTAAACATGTTATCGCAAACGGTATTGTAATCGTAAATTAAGATACTTTACAGTGTAAATACAAAATGTATACAAAGTATAATATATGTCATTTATTTCACTATAAAGAGTAATGTAAACGTTTTCACAACAATTGTAATAAGTGGCCAATTATTAAATGGGAAAATACAATCATTTTAATAATTTGCTTAAGTTTGGTTGTTTAATTTTCTATACGTTATTTAGCATGTAAATATGTTTCAATACTATTCTTTATACCTATACTTAAAAATATCTTTATACTTAAACGTTGTAAATAAAGTATATTAGTGTTTTTCAGTTGTTTTCTCGCAATTATTGCAAAACAGAGTCTTTTCAATAATGAATAGATTCTTGTATTCATTGACAAGAATTGAAAGAATATTCTGTTTGCCAAACAAATAGCAATCAGAATTGAAAGCCTGTGCGACATGTGATCACATCTGGCGCTCATATATGGCATCACTTTTGCTGTAAGAATGCATACAAACAGACAGTTGTTGTCAACAATGACTTCAAATGACATGTGATTTAAATGATAAACACATTTACAAAAACACTATTCAAAACACAATTGGGTTTTGTTTGTGATGTCTATTAAACTATTGGTTTACAAACCGATGATCGCATCCAACAAACCATTACTGCAATCGTATCCACACTTCAATCACTACTCCCGACGACAAAAGTGAGTGCTTTTTAAACAATTTTGTTTGTGATGTCTATTAAACTATTGGTTTACAAACCGATGATCGCATCCAACAAACCATTACTGCAATCGTATCCACACTTCAATCACTACTCCCGACGACAAAAGTGAGTGCTTTTCAAACAAACAAAAAAGTTTTTGAATCACACTTTGAATTGATTATAAAAATGTGAATTTTATATTTGAATAACCGATTGAACTAACGGTCAGTTTATCGCAAAACTATTACCAAATACTGGGAGTCGACGAGCGGTGCGATCGGAA